TTTACCTAGATGGGAGGGGAAAGGGGAGGGGGTTATTACCAAGATAGAGAAGGCTATCAGAGCCAAGAAAAAATTTTACCACAAAAAAAAATTTTAAAAAGAAAAAGAGACAGAAAGGCAGAAATAGACAGAGAAAGACAGAGAGAAGGAGACAGGGGTTCTACCAGGGTAGATTCTCAGCAAAACATCTTCATTATCTCTGAAATCACTAGATATCAGCTCTCATGGTGGAACTCGAAAATAGGAGTTTTTCTATAAATAAGAAGATACCAAGGAAGAATGTGTTTCAACTCAGTGCTATCTCTAACATGCCTTAAATTTTATTATTCTTTTTCATACATTAAAGCCAATCCTGTCACTTAATCAATTGTTAAATCAAAGAATCAGAGTTTTAGAAAATACTCATCTTGCCCACCATCCCAAGTCATACTATTTTTTTATCTCATTCTCATTAATTTTCAGACATCTTTCAAAGATGTAGTTGGTGAGAAGCTAAAAGAAAATAAACTCTTTTACTCCTGATATCACCCCATCCCCAGGGAATCACCCACCAATGCTATAGGATGTCAGAAAGAGCACATGGCCCTTTCTGATGCCATAATCTGCCATGATCTTCCCATCTTCCAGTCTCTTCCCATTGCAAGTCACAATTTGGGCCTCAGGAGTTACAGCGGTCTTGATCTCAATCATTTTTTTCACCTGGGCCACTGAGTTAGACCTTCGCACCTGGAGGTGGTGTCTCTGACCCTCATCTCCTGACTCCACAAGCAGTAAGGACAACTTCTCATCACTGGGCTTCACCACTCTCAGGGTGAGGTGGATGGTTGTCTCCTAGTCAATGCCATATGATGATAGTGTTCTCTGTGACTTTAGGGTCTTGGAGCCCAGCAGAAGAACCTGGTCCTGCACAGAAACCTTGGTCTTAGACGGGACATGTTCATTGACCTTCTTCACTCTGTCCCCCGGGTTGGCACTGAAAGTCATTAATTCCCATTCCTTGGAGTAAACATTCACCTGGACAATGACAGGCAAGAGTCAGTTACCCAGAATGCCTCCTCTGTATACCCACTCTCCCACGTTAATCGTAACCAACATTCCACTGCCTGTCTAGTCCTCAAGCTCCTTTCAACAATCTGTGTCCCGACCTTTCCTAGGACTTCTCTTCTAGAATTCTCAGGTTAGAACACAAACAAGATTAGTCTCATTTCTTTAGAACTATGCCTCTTACTTACCTCCAGTATAATTAACAATTTCCACCTTCTTTATCTGCCCATCTTACCCAGCCAAAAATTTCCACATGTCAAAAAATAAATCCAACTACAAACCTTCAAAAATGTACACAAGACTCTAAAAATTCCCAGAAAGAATTTCCAAGACTCATCAGTCTTGTGGGATACTCATGGATATAGCATACCCTCCATAGCTATTTTAGAAGGAATAGCTAGTTAGGAAACATAATCTCTGCACTGATAGATATTTTTTTCTAACATCCCATTGCTTTATAATAATAACTCACAGGGACCAGCAGTTATTTACCATAATGGCTATGTCGCTGGACTCCCATGTAGTCTCAACCGCAGTTCGAGTCCCAGACCCAGTGGCTTAAACTCACGCCAGGCATGTGTGCCTGCGTGCCCAAGATCCTGAGAAGAGAATGGAGGAGAAGGGATTGCTGTGTGGTCATCCCCCCTGGGGGGTTATTTCTCACTTACTGCCTCTCTGTCTCTCTCTGTCTTTCTGGCGAGTGCTCACACCCTATAAAAAAAGATAATAACAACTCACATATTACAGTGATACTATGTTTAGTGTTACTTGCTAATCTGCATTTCCTGTGTTTTTATATCTACCTATTGTAAAATATGATCTCTTCCTTTAACTAGATTATACATAGCCCTACCCACACAAGACAGGAACTATAATGCAAGTCTTACTTTAATAACCAGAAAATTCTAAAAGATGGAAAACTCACCCAATATTGCCACTTAAGTCTGAGAGGGCTACTTTCATGCTGTTCAGAAATGTCTCCTAACCTGGATGTCACAGAAATTTCTTTACTGGGGTGGGGCAGGGGGGTCTCTCTGTGTTAAGCACTGCCCTCATTCAAAGTTTTCTCCATAGCAAATCTTTTCTTGTGTAAGGCAATGTATTTGGTTATTAACAACTTCAGGAAAATGAATTTTAGAAGCTCTCTTTGGGGAGGAAAGGGAACCTTAAATTTAAGAACTCTAAAAGGGCCAGCCAGGTAGAGTACAGGTTAAAGCACGAGAATCCCACATGGCTGACTTCATGGTTAGAATCTCAGGCCCAGAAGCTTGAAAAACATGTTGGGTGTATGTGTGTGAGTGCCTGAAAATCCAAAGAAATTAATGAAGGAAATGAGACTATGGAATAGCCAACCCCCTTGGAGAGTGCTTTCTCACTTTCTCCCTCTCTCTTTCTAAAGTGCGCACATGTCCTAAAGCAAAACAAAACAAGCATAGAACCCTGGAAATATTTTCATAATTTCAAATCTTGCCAGCCCTTGCAGCACAAAGCACACTCACTTCTTCCTTCCTGTCTGAAACAGCAGCCAGTTCAATACCTGACTTGAAAGAAAGCTCAAGAGCTAAATGATGGCTTTCTCTTCAGGGAACCCTTGTTCCCATTCTGCATATATCAACCTCTCCAATCTCCTTCAAGGTGCCTTCCCAGCAACTCTGCCTCCCCAACCTCTGTCTCTTGTCCACTCCTGAGGTCTCTCCCCAACCCTTAGTAGTGTTTTGTCTTCCTCTTTAAATCCCAACTTACACAGAGGCAGTTGGCCATCTCTGCAGTCACAGGAGTAAAAGCAGGAGACTGAGAAAAAGGTCCTTGTGTCCAGCTTATATGCAACTGGTTGAGCTGGAAAT